CTCAACTTGTTTATTCTCGTATTTCATATGTAGTTAATAGTAAATGTTTATTTTGTTTGTTATTAATCGTATTGTTGCACATCTGGAGCATAAATAATTTTAAGCTTCCATTTTTCCATTCTATGTGAATCAACTTGTATAATATGATTTGCTTGATAGTGGATTTCAATAATCAATTTATCTTGATTCTCTCACTAAAATGTACTATATTCCATTGCAAATATGAATTGACTCTCTTTGTACTTCAGATGGATTTGTTTATAGTCAGGTTTGAGAATTTGTTTTTAATCCTTAATAAACTGTATGCTAAAATTAATTAAAAATTTTTTATTTGAAAGTTAATGTATCAAAAGTTTTAAATTAGAAAGTTGATGTATCATAAGTTATATAAGTTATATTTAGCAATAGGAAATTCCTTTGACAAATCAATTACTTTTGATTCATAAATCTGAATTTTGTGACTAAATTGGACACAGTTTATTCTTCAACACTCTTCTTTTGATTGCCATTCATCCACTTTTATATTGTTTCATTTTCTACTTTATTTATCTTTACCTATTTTTATATTTGTATTTATAAGCTAAATATACATATATATACATACCAGCAATGCTATTCCCAAAATATTGACCAGCTTGCAGGTCTTCCATCAATAGATCAAGCTTTATTTTAAAAACCCTTGCAACTATATCTGGTCTTTCATCTGGTCTTTGCCCCCCTAACTCGTCCAGTGCATATTTAATCTCTTGCCATTTTGGATTTGAAGTAATTGTGATGAACAAATCCGGATTTCCTAAAACACGACACAAAGCAATTGCATCTTGATAATTTTGAGTCATATATCGACTACCTCCAGTAAACGATGAAGGCAAGATAATTCTCTTCCCAACTTGTGCTCCATCTGTATCACCTCTGAATATTGCATCTTTAATGCCACAATATAGCTCCGCTCTAAGTTTTGTTTGATTTAGTCTGACCCAAAGCAATCTATCTTCTTCAATACATGTAAACATATCTACAATGTAAGTCTGAAATAGTTTGCCTGAAAGAATCAATGTATGGCCTTCATCACACCTTTGTTGGATCCTAAATGCAGCATATTCCATCATTGTTACATCTTTTCTCTTCTTGTTTGAATTTTTGGACTCTCCTTCCAATGGAACGCCAAGTCGAAATCCATCTTCACCATACGGGAATAGTAAAGGATATTGCATGGCCATAAAACTTGGGTGAAGATCACTAATTCTAGACAACCCCATTTTGCGGTCATAAACAATAATATCCCGCACTGCTATTGTTTCATCAATGTTTCCCACAATTAAACCAGCTATCTCTGACACAGTTGGCATATTCTGCAATCTTCCATCACCGCTGCGTGATGATTTAATGATCAATTGTACTGCCAATAACTCATTTTCCTTGACTCGGTCTCTCACCATACGAAAACTTTGAACCAACACATTGCAATGATCTAACATTGTAAGTAGATTGCTTACAATAGCATCATCTAATTCAGCACTACCATTAATTGCTGCCATTCTGTTAGATATCTCGTGATCAGTATCATATATATAAAGTTGACAATATTTTGGAATTTCACCCGGTATAGGTTTTAAGGAACCAATCTTATGATGATTTTGGCCATTCAAGCGATAACAATAAGGACCCCCTCCATTATTATAAGTATTATCAACTCTTCCTCCAGTCGAGGTGAATGAAAACAAAGAGTTGTACATCCTTATATTTTGTTTGAATTTTGTAGATCGTGCTCCTCCAGATGGTGATAAGAGTTGTTTAAGGAATTCTGGCGGTTGATGAATTAGCGGGAATTTAACTTTCCCTTTACGACAACATAGTGAGAATGTTGGATTCTTAGGTTTTTTAGACTTTTCAGCTCTTTCGTCATACCAAAGCATTGCCTTACAATGTGGACAAGTGAATTTGGGAGGCCCGATGTTGAGAATGTCATTAAAAATACCTTCAGACAAAATATCTCTCATTACTATATAGTATAAGTAATACATAGTGATTTAATAATACGATGATTGCAGTCATACCTTCATTTGCCAATATACATTTTACACGTTTAGATTTGTATGATGTATGGGATGATGAACAACTGCCGTCTACATTTGAGGAAGTATTGCCTATAATCGTATTTTGATACCTGTTATTCACCATTTGAGAATTACTTTCATACACATTCTGTCGTTGTCGTTGTCTTTTGGAGCGTTTATCTGTTAAAAAAATAATACTCATAAATGTATATATCTATCCACCCCCTCGGTATACACACAAACACACACATTAACACACACATAATTTATTGACACATCAAATGAGTTATTTTCACAAACCTATTAAACGCTGTTCAACTTCTTGTGTCAACTTAGCTTCAGCAACAGAGGAACCTGGATCAGATGTTTGTGTAGGCGTCATGCCACATGACAATTGTGTATATCCAGTTCCAGATGTGTTACAAATAAGGATAACATCCTCAACAGATGACATAGTGATAGAATGTGCATTGTCTTGTATTGCATACACCTAACATTGCATCGTTGATGACTTCAGAACAATTAGTATTCGGGTCCTCATCATTGCTCTCTATTATCCTGAAAAATAGTATCTATGTGCACGTGAATGTGTGTATGTATATATATAAGAACATATACACATATCAATAGACAACATCTTACTAATAAAGCTTTATGGACAATAATAAGATCAAAACCCTCATCATAAATATACTTGGATATAAGTTACAGTATAATAGATAAACATATTAAATATATATAGATACTATGATTACTCAGTGTCTATGATTACTCAGTGTTACAACTTCTAAAACTATAACACAATTGGATAATCATAATCCAAGCATCTATGTAAATTAATCAAATATCAACCAAGCATATTCAAATTTAACACAGATGTACATAGAAAAGAGAGACGTGTTTCAGTTTTTAAAGCTCATTGTAACAACTTAATATAACACGATAGGTAAAAAAGAATATGAATTTGCTAATACTTACAATGATGATCTCCTCTCCGACAATGAGATATTAATGTGTTTTTGAAAACACGATGTTGCTCTGCATAATAAATAAAATTAAAGGCAATTAGTTTATATCAAATGATATTATCCCATTTTCTCTACAGTACACTTCAAGATTACAGTAATCATCAAGTGTTAGTTATATTTCAATATTCTAACTTTTATTTACAATATAAGTTTAAATTTCCAATAATAGTTTAAATAACTTTGTTTGAATCAAATTTTAGTGATATGGGATAAATTTCAGTCATATAATCTAGTATTTATATTTATTGACATGAAAATGCAGCACATATAATCTAGTACATATAGATTTCAATTTAACACAGATGGACAAAGAAAAGACAGTACATATAATCTAGTATTTATTAACATGACAATTTTGTCTGAATTCGATCTGCATGTTGTCCATGTTGGATATGGATGTGCATGTTGTGCATGTTCAGAAAACATTCCCTGGAGATGAGAGTGGATGAGTAAATAAAATTCATGGATTGAGGTTTAAAAAAAGCAAGTCAATAGCTTGTTTTAGGTGTCTAAACTATTCAGTTTGCAATACAGAGGGGAAAAAGAATGACTGGATAGCCTTTATATACCAATGAATTTAGTAATAGCGATATGGCTTATTATACCAATGAATTTAGTAGTTGCAATATTCCAATTATGCGAGAATCATCAACTTTTATCAACAGTTTGACGGTGCAGAAGTTTCCTTCTAGGAATCTGAAGTTATATATGTAGAAACCATATAAATGAGAACAATGAGCTTAGCAGTAAAAACTACAGTTCCACAACACCAACTAAAGACAGAGGTAACATTGATAGTCTCATCAAGAAATTTTAAGAGTCTTCCCATGGAAACATCAATTCCTACTAAAAATGGCAAGTCAGATAAAAATCTCATGCACCCCCAAGCTTAAACCTACTGGACAAATTTTAAAGTATATGCCAGTAGCTAGCAACAAAACAATGAATACCCAATCTTGCAAAAAAAAACGGAAATAGAGAACTGATACATTACAACAATGCATGTCATTTCTTAGATATTAGTCACTACATACATGCCACATTTCAATATGGCAGTAGTCGCACTATAAAATCAGCTAAGATTCTGATCTAGAAGCACATAACTCTGAGCTTTATGGCCGAATCAACCACTTATAAAAGCTCAGATAGGAGAAAGATTGTGAGAAACAGAAAAGCAGCATCCAAAATCTACTAAGCGCAGCCAGCGGTGAAAGGCAATAAGCTTCTACACTGATGATTAATAACAATTATGTGAGTTTTTGCCAAAAAATCATCCAGAGGGTAGTAATGACAATTCTAGGGCAGTCCAAGATTAGCTAGCTCCATATAAGATGATAGAAATTGGTCAAGGAATGATCAACAGGAACCCTTCGGAATTCTTGGATACTGCTTTTTTATGAAAAGATCAGACGCCTGTTCATCGGCGTGCACTACCACCAGCAGTAGGTGCCTGAGCTGATGCGTAAGCATTTGGTGCCTGAGCTGATGCGTAAGCATTTGGAGCTTGAGCTAAATCATAAGGATTTTATGCCTGTTCAGCTTCATAAGGATTTAGTGCCTGGACTGATCCATAAGGATTTTGTGCCTGTTGAGCAAGATAAGGATTTGGGTCCTGAGCAAATCCATAAGGATTTGGGGCCTGAGTTGATCAGGATGAAATTTGTTTAGCAACAGATAACAACCTAAATACTTAAATGACGTTATTATTATTATGTCATATTTATTAACTATCCTCTTTAATCTCCTATAGGGTTTGATATTTCTTAAGATACTTTCCCACAATATCCAGAAATAGTAACTTGCACATTAAATGATATAAAATAATTAGATAGATGTACAATTGATGTGTGCAACATATCTAATATGTCTCAATTATAGATAATAACAAATCCTATGATGTGTGCAATAGATCTAATATGTGTCGATTTTAGATAAAATTGACAGGAAATCGAAAATTTAACAAACTTAGTACAAAAATTATGCTTTCCAACTAATATTATTACGACTATAACTTTGTAAGGCAAGATACTAATAATAATAAAGGGGTAGTTTGGACATCATGGTATCGTGGGAAGTTTGGGAAATGGGCGTGGTATCCTGGGAAGTTTGGGAAATAGGTGGATTTTTATATCCATTAACTCCTAGTTTCATTAGTAATAGCGATGTGGCTTATCAAAATATTTTGCAATATTCTTGAGATCATAAATAACCCTACATTTATCTTGCTGCAGGCTCCAATTTGCACATATCTACTTCATTTTAATGCAGATGAACCAATCACAGAGGAGGGAATTGAAGCGTGTACATAATGATATATGCTAGTAAACAGGTGGGATAAAATCCATCCTACTTTCATCAGTTCATAATGATATATAGCTAAGCATCTCATAACTGTATTTAGGCACTCTACGGATCAAACATATGCACAATATTTTTTGGTGGCGGTTCCAATTTGTATCCACAGAACCAGCTTTTATGAGGGTGGAACTACACTACGTATGTTCAAGAATTATTGTATTTACACAGCAAGTTGAACATCTAAGCAATGCAGCAGGTGACTGTAATACATTCCTTGATATCGAAAATTTTGGTTAAGCAGGACCATTGTTCCGTAAAGGCATAAACAAATAAAAAAGGACAGCAATCTCGACAGAACCTTGGAGATAAAATATATACTTACAATGATGAACTCCTCACGGACTGAGATATTGATCAGTACTTTGAAAACACGATGTTGCACTGTAGAATAGATACATATGAAAACAATTAGTTCTATTCAACTCAGATTATGCCATTTTCTATAAGGTACAATTGAATATTATAGTAATAATCAAGAGTAATATAACACCCTAATGACATTATTAAATAAAGCATAATACCAATGTAATTGATTCCATTGAAGCGTTTTTGTTTATATGCATATGAATTTAGCATATTTTCTTGCAAGGCTATTTGTTTTTACGACAATTGATAATTTAACACAGATGGACAAAGAAAAGCCAGTACATATAATCCAGTATTTATTTACATGGAAAAAATAATGAACCTGTTTTTATATTTTGTTTATATGCAAATGTTTGGAATATAATTTTTGCAGGACTATGAAAGTTATAGTTCAGAACTCAACGAAATCATAAACTATCAGGCGGAATAGTATCTTTTATATGAGTGCAAACATATAATCTAATTACAGAATGTCATAATCTGCGTTTTATTCATCTAAACATATCGACGAAATTCATAACCGTATAATGAGTTTGTTTATAATTCATTTCAACACAGTTGGAGAACGAAAAGCCAGTACATATAATCTAATATTTATTGACATGAAAATTGAAATTGAATTCACTCTGCATGTTGTGCATGTGGGATATGGATGTGCATGTTCAGGAAATTCATAACTGGATAGATAAACATATCGAGGAAAGTATAGATATTTCTCATTCAATTTTAGCGAGCACTCAATTATTTAGCTTGAACTATCAGGCGGAATCTGAAATTATTTATAAATTAATTATAATTTTATATTTGATTTCACTATTTGTGTAGAACAGAGTGTAAGCATCAATAGAATTGAAATGTACTTTATAATGTAAGCCTGCATCATACTTATTCAAAATCAAAATAATAAAATCATCCTTACAGATTATATTTTTATATTAAAATATAAAGGAATTAAGATATCATACTAAATCAAATTCATAAAAATCAAAATCATAAAACTCATTCATACTGAGCCGTATTTTTCTAGATTAAGCAAGGAAATTCAGTGATGATTACAACATCAATATCAAGTTTATTACACCATGCGTAAGAGGAAATCATGAACTATCAGGCGGAAGATGAAATCAATTTTATCAAACTCAGTGACGAAATCATGAAATCAAGGCAAAGGTTTACCTGAAGAAAAAATCTCTCACACCAGACGCAGAAGATGGACTCAATCCTCTCTATCTTTTCTTTAGTCTTTTCTTTAGGCGGAATAGGGAAGAAGAGTGGATTTCATGATTTCTTTAGACGGAATAGGGAAGAAGAGGGGAACAGGGCAACCGACAATTTGATTGTGGGTAAGTTGAGCAACGTGGCTTTCGTGAGATGGGAAGATATCGCAACGTGTTCTGAAGACGTAGAAAATGAACTCTGTTCTGATTTCTCGCAAAAGAGGAAAGCTGCTCAACTTTGTAGAAGCGGTGGAACGTGGCCATCTTTAGCGGTGAATTTAAGCAACGTGTCCTCAGAAATCACAACGTGGCTAATTTGAACGAAGGAAAAAAAGGCGCCAGCGGTTTTGAAGAAAAGGCGGCAGCGGTAAAATGCTAAAAGATGGGTCTTTAATTGGCACAAATAGAACGTGGGCCTCTTTATTTAGTTTTTAATACGAAAAAATACGTGGAAAATCAAAATTTGTGGGAAAATACGTGGAAAA